AACTCTTGGGCTCGAGCAATCCTCTTGCCTCAGCCTCCCCAGTATCTGGGAGTATAGGCGTAAGCCACCACGCCTGGCTAGTTTTTTCTATTTTTCGGGGTTTCGCTCTTGCTTAGGCTGGTCTTGAGCTCCTGAGCTAAGTGATCCACTTACCTCAGCCTCCGAGACTGCTAGGATTATAGGCATGCCTAGCCCTTATGTTCATGTTTTAAATAGATAATTTAAGTAGGGCACAGTGGCTCACAAACCTAATCCTAGCACTCTGAGAGGCCAATGCGAGTAGATTGCCTGAGCTCAGGAGTTCCAGACCAGCTTTAGCAAAAGTGAGACCCCGCCTCTACTAAAATTAGGAAAATTAGCTGGGCATTGTGGTGGGTGCCCATAGTCCCAGCTACTTGGACAGCTGAGACAAGGATCACTTGAGCCCGGGAGTTTGAGGTTCCTGTGAGCTATGACACCACAGCACTCAACCCCAGGGTGACTGAGTGAGACTTTGTATATAATTTAAAACATTTTTATAAAGACCATTTCTTATTATAGAGATAATACATGTTCATTATGGGGAAATAGAGATAAGCACACATAAAATTTAAAAGTAGGAAAAGGGAAAGTATTTTGGATCCTGAAAATGCAATAAGTGGGTTGGACAGTTGGAACTGGAGAGAGTGTGTATTGGTTATGAGCAAAAGCTCTTGAGTCAGGCAAACCTAGGCTTGAAACCCTGCTCTGTCAGTTATTTCATTGCGACTTTGGGCATATTACAAAGTTTGTCATTTAGAAGTGGAGATTATCTTTTTCCCAGAGGGCTCCTTTTAAATGGAATAATGTTATACAAAGTGCTTTGCATGTGCTTGGCACATAGTAAGAACTCAGTATATGGCACTTTTGGCCATAGAAGTTTCGTGCCTACTGTAGACCATTTGAATTTACATTATTTGGCATTAGTGGCCTTTTAAAAATCATTGACACGATCTTTGTAGTACATTTGGCAACATCAACCTACTATGTGTTTTATTTAATCATAGCTCTTCTGTATTTTATGTTTATAATCTGAGATAATCAACAAACATTTATTAAATGCCTGTTCTGCCGGGCGCGGTGGCTCACCCCTGTAATCCCAGCACTTGGGAGGCTGAGGGGGGTGGATTGCCTGAGCTCATGAGTTTGAGAGCAACCTAAGCAGGAGTGAGACCCCCGTCTCTGAACAACAGCTGGGTGCTGTGGCGGGTGCCTGTACTCCCAGCTACCTGGGAGGCTGAGGCAAGAGAATCACTTGAACCCATGAGTTTGAGATTGCTGTGAGCTAAGATGCTATGGCACTCTACCAAGGGTGACTAAGTGAGACTCGTGTGTGTATGTGTATGTGTGTGTGTGTTTGAGATAGAGTCTCACTATGCTGCCCTAGGTAGAGTGCAATGGAGTCATAGCTCACAGCAACCTTAAACTCTTGGGTTTAAGCAATTCTCTTGCCTCAACCTTCCAAGTAGCTGGGACTATAGGCGCCTACCACAGTGCCCAGCTATTAAGTGAGACTCTGTTTCCGAAAAAAAAAAAAAATGCCTACTCTGTATAAAACTTTGCATTTGGCAATAGCAATTCGTTACATGTTTTATTTAATCATTATTCTTATTTTATGTTCACACCTTTTGGTCTTCATTACCAAGCATGTATTGAATGCTTATCTGTGCCCGTATATAAAAGAATATATCTTAAAGATAAGTATCTAAAAGCAACAGTTATTTTTATTTTCTATTGCTTTATTATTAAAAATATACAATTCCAGGAACCAAAGGATAGTTGATATTCCATCCATTTTTCCCAGATCATTTAGAACAGAAGTGCTGGTGGACTTGTGAGCATCTTGTGTTTGAAATTTCCTTAGTGGTTTTCTAAAACAGTACATGATACTTGTAAGTGATATGATATTTTGTCCATCAACCTTTATGAAAGAATTTAGTATAGGGCTCCTGTGGCTCAAAGGAGTAGGGCACCGGCTCCATATACTGGAGGTGGCATGTTCAAACCCAGCCCCAGCCAAAAACTGCAAAAAAAAAAGAATTTAGTATAGACAGAAAACAGGTATTTGGCTATTATAGCTTTTTGGTTTTGTATAGTCCAATCCTGATAATTATTGGTCCATTCTAGTATAAAACTTAGCATAGTGTGGTTCACATATTATAGATGCCAAGTAAATCTTAACAGTAGATTTGAAGTTACCATTGCTGAAAAGTAAATTAGGATTCAGATTTTCTTGGTGACCTTTAAGTTTAATAGTATATTTATGTTTGGCATTCATCACCCTGAATGTTGTTGCTTTCCTTCTAATCTCATATTTGATTTTCTATCCATACAATTACATTTTTTTCTTTCCCCAGAATCCTCCAATGCAATCCTCCTATCCAGTTGAATTTCTGCCTTCTAATTGGCCCTGCAGTGCTACTGATGAAAATAAAAAGACAGAAGTAAACCTAGAGGCTGTTTTTCAGATAGTAGATGAGTTGCATTCCTCCCCTAAATTGGAGATGGTAAAGGTGGAGCCTGTTGAGAATCAGTGCCCAACATCTCAGTCCAACAGAGGCCAACATATCCTAGCTAATTCAAACAACAGCAATCCATCTTCCACAAGTCAGGCTAGCCAACTGGAACCACTTACTCCTGTAGGCTCAGATATTACATCTTTTGTGGTCGGAACAGAACAAGCAATTACCTGCTCTCTACCACAGTCACCGGAGTACATCTATACCATCCACACAGCTCAGCCTGTTGAAAGTAACACATTGCAGGAATCTACAGCCATCCAACAAGCTCATGTCAAACTGAAGGAGCAGCTAAGTCATAATCCATCTCCATCTTCAGTAGTATTTGTGCAGGAGGGGCTACCATTCAGCACACACCAGGTAAAAGAGGAAAAGGAAAAAATCCTAATAAAGATCAGAATACCTAGAGCTTCTTGCTAAAGATTATTCTAGTAGAGAATTTGTCCAGATTTTATTTGGCCTTAACACCAGTTCTTACACTTTCCAGGAGGATCATGTCCCAGTAGTTTTGCACAAAAGATTCAGAAAGAAGTTACCTTAACCCCCAGGCATCCTCTCACTATGTCATGATCTGAAGTCAACCTGTAGAAAGGCAGTCAGGTTGAGCACTGTGGTATAAAACTTATTGTCCTATTAGAGAACATTTCTTGAGTTTTTGCTTTTTATCTTAATTTGAATGGACTTGAGTATACTTGTCTGATATAATTCCTTTGCCCTTGAGAGATGATTTATTTGCAAGGTATTATGAGGAATTCCCTAGCCATTTGTAGAAGAAAGTAAGGAGATGGTTGGAGGTATTTTCTTACTTTACTACATAGCATCATTCCGCTCTAACTTGTTAGTGTTTTGTGTTCGAATTTCCTTATTAATGGCTACATTCCTAAAGTAGAACTCTGCCTCTAGTTTGAGAGACATATTTTGAAGGAAGAGGCTAATTCCTTTATTATTGCTAATTTATGACCAAAAGATGAACAAACTTTGGTTCTTAATACTTAGAATAATTCATCAAAGGTACATTTAAACTAAAATCACATTTTGCAAATTAAGTATTTTTTT